AAGGAGCCCTGGTAGTGTAGTGGGTTACACACTGAGCTACTAACTACAAGGTCAGCAGTTTAAATCCACCACCTGTTCTGAGGTTGAAAGATGTGTGTTCTGCTCCTGTAGAGATTGACAGCCATGGACACCCTATAAAGGGTCTCTACGAGTCAGAACTGACTTGAAGACAAGTGGCAAGAGTCGTATATGCTGTGAATCTACTTCGCGTCTGTATGTGTGGTGTTGTGAAGTGCCGTCGAGCCCGTTCTGACTCAGTGACCCTGTACAGGGTTTCCGAGGAACAGCTGGTGGGTTTAGTCTGCAGATCTGTGGTTTGCAGTCCAGTGCTGATCCTACAGAACCACAGCTGTGCTTTATACTGAGATTTATGATTTTGTTTCACCCTTCCCCCCATCAAATACATTTTCATTTCCTTTTAGAATGCCCCATGTAGAGAGTAGGAAGGGGGTTGGGTACCTCTTCTTTTTCCTGGTTTCTGAGCTCTCTCACATTAGGGGGTGTACCTGAGTTGCAATGGAAAGAAGATGCAGATGGGGAAATCCTTCCTTGAGCTGCCTGGGAGTCCAGGATTAGGTGGGAGTAGGCTAGTCAGGATCCCCTGACCCCGGGCCAGGCAGGCACCATCCCTTTTTCCAGGACTCAGAAAGAGCATCACCCATGCTTCCTGTCATCACTTTTTCAACGATTACTGAGCACCTACTGTATGCAGGGAGTCCTGGTGTGGCGCTGTGGGTTCATGAGCTAGACTGCAAAGCCAGTTCGAACTGCAAGGTTGGTGGTTCAAGCTCACCAGTCGCTCCTTGGAAACCCTCTAGAGGGTCGCTATGGGTTGGAACCAACTCGATGGCACTTCACAATAACAACAACATCTGTATGCAGGCAGTTAGAAACTATGAGCTGTTCCACTGGAGAAAAATGAGGCTTTCTGCTCCCATAAAGATTTGCAGGGTTACTAGGAGTCGGAACCAACTCCATGGTACTTAACAACAACAACTGTATGCAGGCTCTGCCAGTCTAGTGGGGATTGCTAGGTGACTACGCGGAAGGAGCTAAGTGGTGGTGACCAGGGTACATGGAGGTTGTGGGACTCAAGAGAACGGTCTAGGCATCGAGGTCAGCGCTGGCTTCCTAGAGAAAGAGACTGAGCAGTCGCGAGTACATTGTCCTTCCTGGGGCTGGGCAGCATTTTACAGTTTGAGTGGACAGGGGTAGAGGAGCGTGGACTTTCTTCTGAAAGTAGGGGACATAGCGAGAAGAGAGGTACAAAGCCCTTGGGAGCTGCCTGTACAGGCTGGAGCCATCATCCAGAAGGAGCAGCAGGACACTGACCAAGTTAGAGCTGGCCAGGTGGAGAGAAGGGACTCAACAAATGGCTGTGAAGTCACACTGGCAGGACCTGGCCTGGGCTGCATGTGGGAGTGGCTGAGGGAGATGGAAGAAGCAGAGCAGGGATGACTCCCAGTATGGTATCTGGCTTGGGCCTGAGGTGGGGATGCGCCCACTGAGAGCAGAGGACAGGTGACAAATTGGTTTGGAGAGGAAGATGATGAAGTGTGATATTGTGGCTATGTTGAGTTGAGCTGTCTTGGTGGACAACGAGGGACAGGAGGGCGTGGTTAAAGAGCATGAACTCTAGGATCACACAGCTTCAGTTTATATCTCTTCTGGCCCTGATTTGCAGTGTGGTTTGGGGTAAAGTACTTCAGCTGTCTGGGCCTCACCTTCCTTATCTGTAAAATGGAAATAATAATATAACCTACCCCCTTGTGTTTCTGTGAATACTGAATGAGATTAAAACAGAGTTAGTGCTCAGTAACCGTGAGTTACTATGAATGTTGTATGATCCAGAGCGTGGAAGAGAGCTATGCAATAGACAGGAGGGTCAGGAGCACGGCCTAGGAGTCAGGCATGGGGATGGCGGGTCATGAGGGTTGGCTAAGGAGGGGACCACACAGGCTGGCAGGACACTGGAGTACCACAACAGGGGACAGATGTACACACACACACACTGCAGCACAGGGACAAGCCGCAGGACACTGGAGTACCACAACAGGGGACAGATGTACACACACATACTGCAGCACAGGGACAAGCCGCAACAGCTCTCTGTCAAAGCACGGCAACATTTTGGGGTCAGAAAAAGCAAGTTCCAGAAGATGGCACACACTATAACACTGGCTTTACTGCTGAAAACCAAATAAAAAAGCAATATATTATTTGGGCATGCACATGTATGTGATAAGATGGTTTTTTAAAAAAGATGATTCCATCAGGGAGCTAGAGATAGGAAGGGATGGGGACAGAGCATTGTGGTTCAGACTAATAGCCTGGGAGTTGTTAAGTGCCACTGAGTCGATTTCGACCCATAGCCACCCTGTATAGTGTTTCCAAGGAGCAGCTGGTAAGCTTGAACCACCAACCTTGCAGTTCAAACGACTTTGCAGTCTGACGCATTAGCCACACCACAGCGCCACACCAGGATTCCAGCATAGGGGTAGGTGCAAACTAGTCATAATTTTCTAGTTCTGGGGCTGGAGGTGAGTTTATGGGTCTATTAGATGATCATTCTTTATAACATTAATTGTGATTTATTGGTCTGTGTATGAATCATATTTTTAAAAGGAGACCCCTACAGCCTGAGAAGTGGGGGCAGGGGCGGGGGTAGATTGGATGTCTGGCAGTTTGAGGAAGGGGAGGGGACTGAGAAAGTTCCAGGGGGAGGAGTGAAGCCATGGAACCAGATTGGAAATGACTAGAGAAGAGCTCACAACTACAAGAACCCAGGCCAATGTATGTGACTTCCCTGGGTGACCCTGTCCCAGCCTTAGTGGCCCTGTGAATATGGCGAGGGTGGACACTCCAGGGCAGTGTGACTGAAAGCCTCACTCAAGTGAGTGAGGCCTGGATAGGCCTCAGGTTCTGGTTACCCCTCCCTGTCTGCCCTTCCCTGACCACTTTAGCCTCTGGCATCCTCCTATCCCTGGGAGGTGGCCTTGGTGGCAGAGTGGCCTGTGGCTCTGCCCTGCTGGAAGCCCACAGCCCATGACACCCTGCAGCATTCTGATCCAGTGCCAGACTCAGAGGAGTCTTAACCCTGGCCACTGAGCCTGTCCTTTCATCCTGTCAGCAGACATTGGCTGAGTGCCAACGATACCAAGAAAATCACAGGAGTTCCTAAGGAACCAATATGCTGTGCACTTGAAGATACAGTGTGTGTTCCTGATACATATTGTGTGTGGGGGTGGGGGTGGGGAGGGTGCGAACAGGTAAGGCAGAAAGGGAATAAGAGAAGGCAACTTTGAGTAAAGCCCTGAAGGGGTGAGAGGTCAGCTGTGTGGCGAAAGCATACTGGCTGAGGGA